AGGGTGTGATTTGCAGCTTCCAATTAGGCCAAAGAATTGAGAGGTGGTCACGAAATATCTAGAACCTGGGAGGAGAAGTCTTCCTTGTCCCCTGTCTCAATCAGGGGCATTTCAAAGCTCCTCAGGGGCTCATGCCAACCTGAGCTTTTTGTTGCCCTTGACTCCCTTCTCACCGCACCCCCAGCATTTGACCATACTATTTGCCTCTTCGGTAACTTAAATCCAACCTGCCTCTTCTCTCCACCGCACTACGTTCTCTCTCTATCTGGGCTGAGTTACTAGGATGGCTCCTGTCCGTTCTCCCTACCTCTGCCCCCAGCCTGGCCTTATCCCTGCCTTCTCTCTCTGACTTGACAGAGCAATCCTTCTGAAGCCTCCTCAGAGTGGTGTCCCTCCCCTTTTCAACTGTGCCAAGTTCTAACTCTCCAAGGTGGCAGCTCTAGAGATCTCCACCTTGTCCCTATGCCGCCTGAGACTCAAAACTCCTTGAAGGCAGTATCTATGTCTTACTCACTGCTTATTCCCAGTGACTAGTGCAAAAAAATCTCATACATAGTAGGCACTCCACATCTGACTCTAAAAGAAACCAAGATGTGGCCCTAGACATCTGATTCCCAAGCACCTTTGCACTTCACTTTGAAAGAAGGTGGGTGGGATTTGTACAAACAGGATGTCTTTGGGGAGAAGAGCCATGCCTGAGGGGACTGCAGAATAGGATCTTGGAAAGAAAATGTGTGGACAGAAGTCTGAAGCATAGATTGTTTTCTTCACCCAACAAACATCTGCTGAGCAGCTATGATGATTTACTGCCTAGTTATAGTGCTGGACCCTGGTGACAGAGCAGTCACTCCTACACAGGTATGCTGACTAGGGGTCAGGTTCTTTCAGACGAATTGTATGTCTCTTAACCATTGTGTGTCTGTTTAAATCCTCACAGCGTTCCCATGCAATAAATACTTTCCCCATGGGATGGATGAGAGGCAGGGTGACAGAGAAATGAAGGGTCTGGGTATGAAGAGCTAAGAATCAAAGAGTCTGGACAGGAAACCGGGTTGTCTGGCTTGGAACTCCTGGGCTCAGTGTGTGTTCTAACCCTGACACTCAGGCCGATGTGTCTCCTGCTACCATTGAGTCCACTTTCTAACGAGGGGGCTAGATAACAGATAAGTATACATAGGAGCATGTCAGAGAGTGACAGAGGAGTAGTGGCCACTCTTGAAGTCTTGAAGATTTCGCTTTGAAGGAGACATTGACCTGAAATCTGAATGATAAGAAGGAGAAGCCACAGAAGAGCTGAAGAGAGGTGTTCCAGGCAGAGGGAACAACAGCGAGAAGGCCAGGACCAGCCTGAAAGGCTGACTTCCCTTCGGGGTTTACATTTCACCCTCGCAGGAAAAGAAATTCTGTGGCTGCCACAGGGGGTGCTGTTTTATGTGATTGATGGTGTTCCCCCCATGAGTCCAGGGCAGACATGCTGTGGGAAGGCTCTCTGTGTGGCCCCTAAAGCCAACGAGCCATGTAGCGCCCTGGTGGAGGGTGGCAGGGTGGTTCAGCCCCAGAGCATGTTCTCACCAAGCCAAGGGGACTCACGTTTTCTTTGAAGCTGTGGTTCTCAGAGCATTCGGAGTCATCCTGCCAAATATCCGTGGAGTTCTCCAGAGTCTGCCAAGTGCCCCGAGCCAGGCAGCGTCTGTAGGCCCTTCCTGAGTTCTCTGAAAGTAAACACAGCTCTGGGGGAAAGGTCGGAACACGCAGCAGGCTCCCTGAGCACGCGGTGAGGCCCTGGCCCTCACCGCAAAGCCGTGGAAAATCCCAGGGAAAGGGGATTTTTACTTCCCCTTGCAGGGGGCAGGAGGAGGGTGGGGGGCTCATTAGCATCCCACTGTTTATTTGGGATGGAAAGAAAACCATGAAAGCTTCTACATTTCGGAAGGAGCCATGGTCCACTGATGGCTGCTGTGTTTACCAGAGTCTCTGGAGCTAGAACAGCCCCGGTGACTCAGAGAGGTGAGCTCTCCAAGGCCAGGCCAGCTGGAGACAACCTCCAGGGCTCCCGGGGCTCGCTCAGCGGGACATCTCTTCCGATGCTCAGGAGGCGGTCCATGGAGAGGAGAAAGCGGAGCGCTAACCTGCTCCACTCTGGCGGGCTTTGCGGCCTTGGCCCGCCCTCCCTCTCTCCCCCTTCCAGGTTCTTTATCAGAACTAGGGGCAATGATGGCACCGACCCCCCACACTTTGGGGGCGGAGTAAGTAAAAGTGTGTGTGTGCAAGTGACAGGCAAAGTGCTGTGCCCAGGACAATGGATGTTGTGACTCAGTCACATCTATTCCAGGAGCACCTCCTCAAGGGGTTTTCCTCCTACCTGGACGACCAGGGACCAAACTTGAAAAAGAGAAACCGAAGTTTGTTGGAACTTCCTACTCCTGACCCTGCATGTAGTGGGCCAACAATAACCATTTGCTGAATTCAACTGATCAAGCCCCATATGGTGCTTCTACCTGCCCACCCGACAGCTTTACTAGGGTGTCTAATTGACATCTCAAAAAACATCCCCTAAACCAAACTCTTCATCTTCTCCTCAAACCTGCTCCACCCACAGATCTTCCCACCTCAGTTGATGGCAAACCCATCTTCCCAGTTCTCTGGCCCCAACCCTTGTTCTCTTTCTGTCTGTCATACCCTTCATCGGCTCCATCAGTCCATCCTGCTGTCACCACCTTCAAATACAACTAGGATCCAAGCACCGCTTTTCACCTCCTGCCACCACCTTACCTGGAACCACCTTTATCTCTCACCTGGACTATTGTGAATGCCTCCAATACTTGTAAACGCCTCCAATGTCATGGGCTGCAGTGAACCCAGAAGTCAGAATGAGCTTAAACAAACGTCAGTCACGTCATGTGACGCCTCCCTCAAAGTCACCCAAGGGCTCTCTGAAAACAAGTCAGAGTCCCATGGCCTCCCACAAAGTCCTGTAATGTCTGGCCCAGTGCTCTCTGACCTGACCTCCTATTGCTTTTCTTCCCCCTTCACTCCAGACACATCGGCCTCCTTACCCTTTGAGGAACACATCAGACATGCCCAAGTGGAGCGCAATTTGCACCCACTGACTCCTTCCCTGCTGAACACTCTTCCCCTATTTGCTAAATCCCTTACCTCCTTGAAGTTTCCACTAAATCATCACCTTGTCATAAAGTCCACTCCAACTTTCCAATCTCTTTCCTCTCGTCTTGTTTAAAATAAATCACAAACACACTCTACACTTTACTTATTTGTGATGTTTCCTGATTATTATTTGTCTGTTGCTGGAATGTGAGCCCCACAAGGAGAGGAATTTTATTCTATTCTATTTTTGGCCACTAATACATCCTTAGCACTTAAAACAATGCCTGGCACACAGTAGGTCTTCAGTAAATATTTGTTGAATGAGTGAAAGACAATAATGTCGCCTGACATGGTGCTCTCCATGCCAGCCATAATTACTCTGTGCTGGGAGTGCAAAGACAAAGGAGACACAGCTCCAAGTCTAGCAAGGGGGAGGAGACCTTCACATCAAGTACTATAAATGCTCATCAAGTACTGTAAATGTCATCAAGTACTGTAAATGCTAAGATGGAAGACTGCACGGGAACCTAAGAGGCCTCAGAAAGGTGGGGGCCATTGCACTGGTGGGGAGTAGTCTGAGAAATTTTCTGGAAGAATGTAAGTTTCAAGCTGAGGATTAAAGTTGGGTTTATAGACAAAAAAGTGTGGACAACGGCCCCGGGTGGGAATGGCTGAGCAGGTGTAGGAGCCTGGGAGTTGTTTATTTGGCTGGAGTGGAGATGGGAGAAAATGCTAGAGGGGTCAGCAGGGCCATGTGATGGAAGTTCTTGAGCACCATTTAGTGGTATTGGGGATGGGCCAAAGTAATCCAATGTGCATTTTAGAGAACTTTGTGGAGGTGGTTGGAAGGGGGCCAGACCTGAGGCAGAGGACCAGTGAGGAGCCGGGGGAGCAACAGCTGAGAGTGAAGATGAGCAGTGC